TACTTATCCACTCGCTCTATTACATCCCCAGTTAGAGTGAGGCTGGGTGCTGAACCAACCCAGCCTAGTAGTAACACTTTACACGTTGAATGTGCAAAATGCATACCGAACATAGCTATGCTGGCACTTAAGTTATCTAGCAAAGCTTGTAACTTACCTGGATCTTCGTTTAGTCGTACAATGTCGTCTGCATACTCTAGATCAGACTGTGAAAATACTGCCAGCTGAGATCAGTCTTCCACCTGAAGTGGAGGTTACCCGAGAAATAAGCTACCTCAAAAGGTATAAGGCTTCCGACCCCGACAGGCTATCCCCATCAGCTTTTAAGGCAGGAGGTTCTGCCTTGGTTTCGGAGTAAACAAAACTCCTAGGTTCAATATGAGAAAGGGTTCCAACTGAATGGTGTGAATCGGTGATCATACCGATTTACAAGAGAGGTGACAGGTCCTCTTGTGAAAACCACAGAGGAATTAGTTTAATCAACATGACCGCCATAAACTCTGGCGTTGTCTTTCCCTGAATGGTGTGTTCTAAATGTTTATTTCAATGTTGCGGTCCCTCTATAATCATAGTCGAACCGAGTCTGAGCTTACATCACTTTTTCACCCGAGTTCATTACAGAAAATGGTGTTCGATAGGGTTGCTCTTTCCGTTTCATTTTAGCTTTGTTATAGATTTAATTTTTGAAACAGCCCTATCCTCGTACGAGGTCAGCGGCGTCGATTTACTTCTGGGTAGCAGACTGTCCGATCTAGAGTATGCAGATGACATTGTGCTACTAAGTGAAGATACGGGTAAGTTGTAAGCTTTTCTCGATAGTTTGAGTGCTAGTGTTTCCATGTTCGGTATGCGTTTTGCACTTTCAAAGTATAAAATGCTACTGCAAGATTGGGTTGGTCCAGTCCCCAACCACACCCTGGGTGTGTACGCTGAGACGATAAACAAGTTGCGTTTTTCGGAGGGATGGTTATTCACTTTGCATGAGCCTCTGAGTCTCTGCGCATAACCTACTGTCGACTGGGATCCAATCCAAGAACGCGGCTTCAGCTCTCTCACTTAGAGCCACGCCAACGTCAACAAGACTAGAAGCCGCAGCCTCAGGGTCCCCAGAAAGACGCAGGTGAAACTTCGCGGATGGGTTTGACAGGGACGTCAATCGGATAACGGAGCTAGAGTCTTGAAAGCGAGTTTGTTGGATACAACACACATTAATGGCTAGAGTCTCGAGGGGACGAACTAAATACGCCTGTTGTCCTATACGCATCAAGGTACGCACGTTAAATGTGGCTAGTTTGAATGGGCATCGAGGACGAAGAAGAGCTTCAACTGGTGGAGGAAGATTCGGTAAGACTTGGACTTTATTCTAGGCAGGACGCAAGAGAAAAGGGACGGAATTTCCATCGGAGGCACAACCGGTAGTATGATTGTCTGAAGAGTTTGATAGTAATGGGAACGTTTGAGGGGGATGAATGTGAGGTGGAGGAAAAATTAGAGAATAGGAAGATGTGCACTGTGTGAAGCGTTTTTTCATGAGCGAGGAGAACTGAAAGAACGAGTTATTGATTAAGCTAAAATTTATTGTTTGCATTGTGGGCTGTTGTACTACTCGGTCGCCCAGTCCAGGATAGGCCTTGTTCGAGGATGCACTCAAGCCTTTACGCAACCAAGCGCGAGCTACAAGACAGCAGTATTGTTCCAAGCGAGCCGGCGACCGGTCCGTTGGTTTACTCGCCATCTCTGGAAGACCTTGTAGGGTAGATGGAATTCGACAAGGGGGAAATGGCCGTATTCGGTGGCGGGCCACACTAGCCACGTCACAGCGCCGTCATTAGATACGTATGGTGTTTTGTGTGGAGAACCCTTGCCAAGTGGTAAACCCACCACATCCTCGAGCACTGCCGCTGATCATCCGCGACCGCTTATTCAGTGAGAATAAACCCAACTTATTCAAAGTTAACCGCCAGTTAGCGGCCGTTTCCCTATCGGCGACCTGGGGACGCGCTCGATAGCATACAACTCTGCTCAACGATGGATGATGATATGTTTGCTAGGTTTCCCTCATTAGTCACCAAACAATCCAGGTAGCGAAATCAACATTAGCCATTTTCTGTCTACCTGGTTTCAAGGCGGGACTAGCCGATACCCAATATTGTTGGATCATTTTTTTCCTCTTTTTTATACAAGATGATGCCATATAAAATGTGACGTATTAGCCAGTTGATGAGTCACCGAAAATAAGCTTGTTCGCTAAACTGCGTTTTCATTCAACTTGCAGGATAACTTTGCACATTGAACGTGCACAGCACTCACCAAAGGAACTTGCTGGTCTGTAAAATGTACTTTGTCCATCCTGTATGTACTAGAACAAGCAGATAATGTCCCCGGTGTACTCTAAGTCGCACAGCCTTCCTCCAACTGTATATTTAATACTGAGATTTTTCAGAAAAATCATTTCGCTCTCCAACATTTCGTCGTAGACATAATTGAACAGGAATAGGGAGAAAGGGAATCCTTGACGCACACCGTTTTTGATGGCGAAAGGGATACTTCGTTCGCAATAGACCTTCACTCGGCAAGTATGTTGCTACAGTGACCTTGGATAGATCGTAGATGTTCGAAAACCTTTAACTCCAAAACAAAAATCGAACATGCTTTAATAATGCAATTAAGCAAATAACCACATGCGCACTGCACACTTCTGGGACGCAATTTGTCTCCTGCCGCACCCCACATATTATCTCAGGTCAGCAAAAACAATTATTTTCTTACTACACTATATTCCAGGAAAAAAACTGATAAAGAATCACCGCCCTCAAGTCAAACCGCCAAAGATCACCCTGCTGGTGGGGATACAAAACTGTACCTAGAACACTAACCTAAAATATTAAACTACTACAAAGGTTCACTTCGATTTGTATAACCATCAACCCGGCACTGATTTTTGTTGCCCCTTTCAGTTACCTACTTAGTCGACCGGCGGAGTGAAAACAGAGCAATGCCGAGAAAGATACGGACGGGGCAAATTAGATGAGTAGATGCATGAGCGCCAGTTTACCAAACTTAGTAATATCATCAAGATTCTTTGATCGGGCCTGGGATAACTGCTCAGATGTCACCCCAAATGGCTTTGACGACCGCAAGCGAAATTCGAAACTTAGTGGGTATGATACTATGATCACTGCCAATGACACGAAGTAGATGAAAAACAATACATGGTAATAATGTTAGTATTGGCACTGTACAAACACAATGATACAATAGATGCAGTTAAATACGATCCATGGCCTCAACAATGTTAACACTGTTTCCACGAATAACTGCCATATCAATTCGAGCTTGCTGACCATCTTTGGTCACCTCGTAGGCATCGTTGATAACAATATTCATAAAGGCGTCGAACCCACGGAGGGTGCCGATAACCTCACGGTTTCCGTTCAACTTCACTGGGGAAAAAAATAAGCGTTGAAGTCAACTTCTGTCTCGTTTCAAAAGAAAAATGATGAAAACTAAAAGATGACACAGTGAAGCGAAAAATAACGAACCAGTAATAGTAGCGTTGCGAACAATGCTAACTGAACTAATAGAGCGTCGTCTAAACGCCCAGACCAATGATTGATCAAAACAACGGTCCATCAGAGCGCACCACAGAGATGAGTGAGGCTTATCAGTGATTTACTGCTCGTTCGTTTTACTGCTTTGGGGAACTTATCACAAATCAAGTGGAGGGATGAGTTCACACACAGGAGTCGTTTTCCCAGTAAGGTTGAACGACAACAGAGCCAGTCTACGTGGAATGGCTCCGTACTACAAGTGCTAACGAAAAAAAACAAGTTACAGAAGTAGAACCCAATGTACGCCAGCGACTCGGAGCACCCGTCAATTACTACCACAATGGAATTTTGATCCCAGATGTGAAAAATGCAATACCTAACCCATCGTTTTTAGAGGAGCTCCTCTTCAGATAATCCGAAAGATGTTGGAACGTCACATTATTAATCTTCTCAACCGTCGATGTCGGGAAAACCTTCTGTGGGTTTCTTTGATTTCCATTTGAGATAATAGGCCAATAACAATATGAAAACGGCTAAGTGTGCGTTCAACCTTAAGCTAGAAACTCTGTAGGGGTGAATCGCATACAGCTACATTACAGCGCTCGTTAGAAATCAAGCGAAAGGTGAACATCACACATTATATTTGGATAACCATTATTATCTTACAGCAAAGCGAACTTCGTTGATTGCTGCCGAACGCGTAATGTATACAAGGTTAGTAGTACAATTTAAGGGGGACAGGGATTGGATCTATTATGAGAAAGGGAGGAAGGTGAACTAATATGGTCAACACACAGAGTACGCAATCGAATTCTGCATACATACCGTTTCAAGCGTTCTGACCTGATAAGAAATGAGAAGAACGCCATTGCTAAAGGGTCGCTGCCATATCCTTCAATGTCTCCAGCCAACCAGTTGTGGAGTCTGTTGGACCCCGACCTGGAAGGTGTTAGACACATATTCTACCTAGTTGCTGTGCATTTCTTCATGCCTCGTCTCCACGTCATCTGTTGACCTCTATGTGGTTTCCTCCAGCCCGGATTAGCTACAGCGAATAAAGCGCGGTGCGGCAGACGATGGCTGGACATGCGCAATACGTGCCCTGGCCAGTAAAGTCTACTAACCCGAATTCGGTGTGCTAGCAGGTTTATCCCTAACAAACTCCCAAACACACGACGGTTTACCTGCTGATTACTAACCCGCTCGCTCCGTCCCACGCAAGCAAAACGACTGAAACACAGATAACCGAAAACTTCTAGTCGATGGATATATTCTACTCGCAATATCAAGGTCTCTTAAAAATAAAGCAGAACTGCACAATAGACAAGACCTTTCAACTTCATTGAAATATCGCAGCTGCAGCCATCCCGACGAGACTGCACCTTGACGTGGTGTGATGGTTTGTGCACCTCCGTGACCCAACGGGCAACACAGGATGGCTTTTGCCTGGCGCATTGGTGGATAATGGATCAGACCCCGAATTCTTTGTACACTTACTGAAATCGGCTTCAGAGTGATTACATTAAACTCACCAAAATTCATGCCTTGCTCTTGGATTCAGTCTGAATGTTAGTTAATTTCAGTAAGTAACATTTGAAACACAATGCTCCAATGGCACTGCCTTCAGAGTGATTTGACCACAATTGCCTATCAAATCCGATTCAAACACTAGTGCAAACACAAATTACAAATAATTCCATACTGCATAGGTCGTCGGCCTGGATAATCAGGACCGCGCTGCCCATTGCATCGAGCGGGATCGGTAGTAATAAGTGGGCTACTGCTCAGATATCCCAACCTTTGTTGAATCCTTTGTCTTCAACACTCGCCATTTGCCCCTTCTTCCGACCTGTAATAGTCCCTCAAGCAAATTGGATGGCGCTCGCCAAATAGCACTGTGAGTAGTGTACCACTAAACGACTGCAGACTCTAAATTCCCGTCAATCACTGGATCTGGGGGCCTTCAACTTGAAGACTCTGATGCAGGTAGGTAAAAAGCTTGTCTGGCGCGTACAGTGGAATCTTTAGGGATCGACATTTGCTGCATGTCGGGACTCTAATCCATGATCCTACTACTGTGAGCCACATGAGCGCTCCAGATTTGACTTCGAGGTACATACTTGGCACTTCGAGCGACAATAAAGCCAGTCCGGTGGGCCAGTGCGGCGCAGGCAGTGTAAACAGAAATAGGGCGAATTCCTCTCATATCGATTGGATCCCTGTCAAAAGTCGTTTATGTGGGCTGCGTCTCGGGTTCA